GTTCAGTTTGCTCAGGACCCCACACACGCAGTGTAGCGTGAGCACAGCGCCCAAATGGAGTCGTGTCCCCACCTTCCTGGGCCAAGAGAGGGAGGGGGCTGGATCTGGGGGTGAGAGAAGTCGGTTGTTGCCTACAGTCATGATGTCAGACGGCGGATCGACTGCTGTATCTTCCCGACCCCCATTCCCAATCCCGACACTCCGTCATTGGAGGCTCCCCACTCAGTGTTCCATCACCATCTTGGTACCAAGTACCGCCCATGCCTTGGTACAGTCTGTCCCCTCCACAACTCAGGCTGGAGTTTGGTCTCCACTGGAAGGTACTAAGAGGCTGTTTGGGGGGGTCATCAGGGCGGAGCTGCATGATTGAATGTCCATGGTTACACAGGGACAGAGACAGGCACTATGCACACTTCCTGGCTCTCGCCATCTGCTGCGGTTTGGTTATTTCTCCCTCTGAACTCTTGTAAGAGTTTAGTTCTCTTACGTTAATGGTATGAGGAAGGCAGAGGCTTTTTTTTTTTTTAATCTATTTGAAAGTGACAGGGCCTGGCGTTGTGGCGCAATGGGTTAAACTGCTGCCTGTGGTGCTGGTATCCCATATGAGCGCTGGTCCCAGTCCCAACTGCTCCACTTCTGATCTAGCTCCCTATTAATGCTTCTGGAAAAGTAGGTGAAGTTGAAGTCCTTGGAGGCCCTACCATCTACATGGGAGACCTGAATGGAGTTCTAGGCTCCTGCATTTGGCTTGGCCCAGCCCTGGCCATCCCCACCATTTGGGGAGTGAACCAGTAGATGGAAGATCTCTTTCTCCCTCTCTGTCACTCTGCCTTTCAAATAAATAGCTAAATTAGAAAAAAAGAAAAGAAAAAGAAAGAAAGAAAGAGTGACAGAGAGAGAGAGAGAGAGAGAGAATGAATCTCCTCTGGTTCACCGCCCAAAAGCCACAATAGCCAGAGTCAGATCAGACTGCAGCTCAGAACCTGGAAATTCGTCCAGGTCTCCTATGGGGGTGGCAGAGAATCAAGCTCTTGTTGGGGCCAGCATTGTGGTGCTTGTGACACCAACATCCTATAACAGAGTGCTGGTTCAGGTCCCAGGTGCCCTCTTCCAATCCAGCTTCATGATAGTGCTCCTGGGGAAGCAGCAGAAGATGGTCCCAGTGCTTCGGCCCCTGCCCCCATGTGGGAGACTGGGAGAAACTGCTGACCCCTGGCTTCAGCCTGGAGCAGCCACAGCCATCGTGGCCATCTGGGGAGTGAACCAGCGGATGGAAAATCTCTCAATCCCTCTCTTTCTCTCAGTCTCTCTCTCTTTCTCTGTCACTGCCTTTCAAACAAATAAATAAATATTAAAAAAAAAAGTGCTGGTGCCATCATATTTTGCCTTCAGGCTCATTAACACGGAGCTGGATCAGAAGTGGATTAGCAGGGACTAGACCCAGACGTGCTGATATGGGATGTGGGGGTGTCCAATGCAGTGGCTTCACTTGTTGCATCACGATGCCAGCCCCCAAGGCTGGAAACTTTATTCAATTATGATAGAGGTGGCATCTTTGGGAACTTCTTGGTGTGGATGAGGTCCTTAAGGTGGGGCCCCCATGATTGAATCCTGGTGACTTTTAAGGTGAGAGACAGACAGGCTTGCCTGTGCCTGGTCTCTGGTCTTCCTTGTGGTGCTCTGTGCCGTCTCAGGCCTCGGCTGGCAAGACGCTGCCAGATGAGACCCCTAGACCTTGCACCGCTAGGACCATGAACCAAAATGCGCCTCTTTTCTTGATAAGGTTAGCTGCCCCAGGTCTTCCGTCACAGCAACAGAAAGTGGACTGACGCACCATGTGATGCCCATTGCTGCCTCGGGACCCTGCCGGATGCAGCCCCTTGGCCATGGACCAGACCCGTGAACCACAAGGAACCTCATCTCTTTGTAGTTCATCCAGTCTGCTTTTTGTGTTAAAAGTAACGAATAACACGCCTCCTCTCACTGCCGCCTGCAGTCCTCATTGGACCGACAGGAGCCCTGAGCTACTGGAAGGGGCAGCCTCTTGCTTGAAGACCCCAGCTGGCAGAGGCTGACACCGGACGGGAGCCAGGTCTTCATTACTGGGGCTGCCACTGAGAACTCTGGGGTCCTCCAGCCCGGGACTCCTGACTCCAGAAATAAGGGGGCCTCCAGGGAGCTGGGGATGTGAGTGAGCTTGGGGCTCAGTGGATGACAGGCAGAAGATGAAGGGGCTAGGAGGGTAGGGGGGCCTGGAGGCTAAGACCAGGGCACAGAGGCTCTGGGCAGGGGCCACCTCGCAAAGGGACAAAACCAGGCTCTCAGCGTATGGCTTCTTGATGACCTGATATGTCAGATGCCGGGCCCAGTGGGGAAGGATTGTAACAGACTCTCTCAGTCAAAGAAGTTTTTTTTTTTTTTTTTAATAAAAAAATTTAAGATTACATGCTTAGAACAAATAGACACATGTGTTAAGTAATAAAATAAATCCCACCAGTTATTTTCTTTTATTTATTTATTTATTTATTTATTTTATTTTTGACAGGCAGAGTGGACAGTGAGAGAGAGAGACAGAGAGAAAGGTCTTCTTTTTGCCGTTGGTTCACCCTCCAATGGCCGCCGCTGCAGCCGGCGCACCGCGCTGATCCGATGGCAGGAGCCAGGAGCCAGGTGCTTTTCCTGGTCTCCCATGGGGTGCAGGGCCCAAGCACCTGGGCCATCCTCCACTGCACTCCCTGGCCATAGCAGAGAGCTGGCCTGGAAGAGGGGCAACCGGGACAGAATCCGGCGCCCCAACCGGGACTAGAACCCGGTGTGCCGGCGCCGCAAGGTGGAGGATTAGCCTATTGAGCCACGGCGCCGGCCCACCAGTTATTTTCTAACCTTTCCTGTGGATATTTTTAAAATAGGTCTGTGGCCTCCATCGCACTCTGGATTCTTCCTTTTTTATTTACTTTGCTTTATTTTAAATATTTATTTATTTAAAAGGCAGAGTTAAGAGAGGCAGAGAGAGAGAGAGAGAGAGACAAAGAGAAGTCTTCCACCTGCTGGTTCACTCCCCAAATGGCCACAATGGCCAGAGCTGTGCCGATCCGAAGCCAGGAGCCTGGAGGTTCTTCTGGGTCTCCCATGTAGGTGCAGGGGCCCAAGGACTTGGGCCATCCTCTATTGCTTTCCAAGGCCGTAGCAGAGAGCTGGATGAGAAGTGGAGCAGCCTGGACTCGAACCGACACCCATGTGGGATGCCGGCACTGCACGCGGCGGCTTTACCCAGTACACCACAGCGCTGGCCCTTCCATTCTTCACTTAACAGTTCCCACGTCACCCATATGTAAATCGGCCTTGTTCTTTTTACTGGTTGCATAATATTGTACTGAGTAAAAGTGGTGGCATGCCTTGAACCAGCCGGCTCTTGACAAACATTCAGGCTGGGGCCGGGTATGTCCAGCGCTATGGCAATGAGCACCTGTGGATGCTCCCTGTGGACGACATGCGGTCGGAATCACGGGCTGGAGCTGGAGACACGGAGGAGCTGGGACAAAGGCCGTAGGCATTCACCACCAGCGTTTCCAGCAGAGCCTGCAACATTGTCCTGGGAAATCCTGGATCAAGTTAGGGGCCCACGGAGAGCGCGTGGTCACAGAGTCAGAGCCGCCTGGGGCGGCACAGACACCAGGGGCCGAGGGAGCACGGAAAGTGCTTGTAAATGGATATGGGTACCGCCTCCTGGGCAGGCCTGGACAGCGCAGCCGTGGGCCAGCAAGTGCACCGTCAGGTGGTATCGCACATGCTTCCGCAGGCCAAGATGGCGTAGCCCCTGCATGCCCGGCTGCATGATCGAGACCCCTTCACTCCGGAAATGCCGTTCGCAGCGCGTGACTGCGGCAGACTGGGGAGAACGCAGGTGACTTAGCAAGGTCCCACTCAACCTTGAGACTGCGTGATCAGACTGCAGGAAGCAGAGCTACTGAGGGAATTAAAAAAAATTACAAAGGCGAGGGCCCGACCCCAGGGGCTTGGTGGAATTTGGGTGAGACCCCCTGGAGAGGTGCATAGTGGCTGCCAAAGGTCACTGTTTTGCCACTGGCCCCGGTCCCAGTGGGCAATCTGCCACAGCAGGTTCTCCAACACCTGTCTCTTCCGCCGGCATCACCCCACTTCTGCACGCTGCCACCGTGCTCAGGCTCTCTCTCTCTACCCAAGCAGCAGTGCGCCCCCCACCCCCACCCCAACCAAGGCACATGCACTGATGAAAAATGGCCCCATGACCCTGGGCACAGCCCTGAGTGGGAGACGAGGCCCATGGCTGCCCGGGAGCAGAGCAGCTGCTGCAGCCAAGTGAATGGAAGGTCTCCATCAAGACTCTTAGAGTGGGTGGGGGTGGGCATGGCGGGGAGGCGAGCTTGAAGCCTGCGTTGTGGCTTTGGGAGTTCCTCAGACCTGGGCAAAGCCAGCTGGTGAGCCTTGGGACTGTGTAAATTTGGCATGTAACTTTTCTTTGGGCTTCTGTATCCTCCTCTGTGAAATAAACACGACACTCACTGCACAGGGTGGGCGCTGAGGACTGGGAGGTCGGAGTGGTGGGGAGAAATTTGTTGTCCCGTGCGATAATCATCAGGTCACTCCATGCAAACATGAAGTGCAGCCTGGCTCGAGGCAGCAGTAGGTATTCAGGGTGACAGGGATGAAGGGGAAGGAAGGTTCCAACGGAGGAAACTCACAGAGCTGTTTGGAATTGCTGAGTTGGGGAGACTTTGGTGCGAGTGCCGGCTCTGGCACTGCTGTGTGTGGGAAACTCGTGCAGCAACGCGGCCTTCCAGCTCCAGGCCTGACCTTCGGGAGTGAGGTGACCTTGAACTTCACTTTTCCATGGCTCAGTGTCTTCTCTTAGAAAACTGAAGTGATAAACGATGGGTCCCTGCTCCAAAGGCTCAGCCATGCCAGGTGCATCACCCTGTTTCTCCAAAGCTGATGGGCGACTCTCAGGTGCTGTTGGGCAGAATTGGGGTGGTGGCTGCCACCCCCCACTCCGGGGGGCATTGTAACAGAGGGGCTGCAGACTCCAGTGAGTCTTGGGGAATCTCTCACCCCGCCCCTCTCCTCTGGCAAATCGCCTTTGGCAAAGTCAGGCTTTTGAAAGCAAAAGCCAGAGCAGGGCGTGGGAGCTATGGCATTCGAACAACTTCTACCATCACGGTGACCTAAGCCACGCCATGGGCCAGGCTGATCTCAGAGACAAATCAGCAGGAGCCCGTTCCAAGAAGGTCCTCACAATGGGAATTCCTGTAACTGAGGCAAGCAAGAGGCCCAGCCCAGGGGGCGGGGCCGGGCAAACAGCAGCCTGAGACCCATGGCTGCCAGACAGTCTCCGTATTCCTGGGCAGAACAAAGTTAGCTTTTAGGAGTATGTTAGCCACAAGGAACTGAAGACCCAAGTCAATGCGGCTCAAAAATAGGAGAGTCAGAAGTCAGAGGCAGGTTACTTTCAGGGCTCAATGGTGTCACCTAGAACCCAGGGTTTTGTTTCTGGTTTTTGTTGTTTGTTTGTTTGTTTGTTTGTTTTTGGCTCTCTGCTCTTGTCATCCCCCTTGTCACTGGGTGGCCACTGGAGCTGCACACCTCGTGTCCTCTTTCCTCTGTGTGTTCCCTCCCTCATTTGTCCATGGATGCATGAAAGCACAGAGCGGGGGAGATTTGACCGTGTTAGAAAGATGACTGGGGGGCTGGCACTGTGGTGCGCAGCAGGTTAAAGCCTTGGTCTGAAGTGCGAGCATCTCATATGGGCGCTATCTCTAGTCCCGGCTGCTCCTTTTCCGATCCAGCTCTCTGCTATGGCCTGGGAAAGCAGTAGAAAATGGCCCAAGTCCTTGGGCCCCTGCACCCACGTGGGAGACCTGGAAGAAGCTCCTGGCCCCTGGCTTTGGATCAGCGCAGCTCCGGCCATCGTGGCCAATTGGGGAGTGAACCAGCAGATGGAAAACCTCTCTCTCTGTCTCTACCTCTCTCTGTAACTCTGTCTTTCAAATAAATAAAATAAATCTGAAAGAAAGGAAGGAAGGAAGGAAGGAAGGAAGGAAGGAAGGAAGGCAAGCAGGCAGGCTAAGGCAGGTAGGGAGAGAGGGGAACGCTTGGGGGCCAGGTTACACTCCCACCGGAGAGAGTTCCGGGGTTCCAGTGCCCAGCACGGGGACTGTAGATAATGAGCAGGGACTGTGTGTTTTCACTCCCACAAGCTGGAAGAAAGGGTGTTGCGGATTTCCACCCAGAGAGGTAATAAAGACTTGAGATGGATCTGCTTTCCCTGATTTGAGCCTCACACGATGGATACACGGATGGAAGCAGGTGGTACCTACCCTACAAAGGAGGACAAACTTCAAGTGTGGATTACATCTATTATAGCCCTAGTCCACAAATGTTACAAGTTAAATAAAGACATGGGAGGTTAAAAGGGGTGGGGGGACACTGAAGGCTGGCCTGCGGAAACTCCTTTACCTTCACAAACTGGTGTTTGTTCGTTTCCCTTCACCAAAGGGCTGTTGAGTGCCAGGGAGCGGAGGGTGCAAGAGCGAACAACAGGAAGTCCCTCCACCCTGGGGGAGCCGGAGAAGTGACAATAAATCTAGGACAGGATGTTGGTGACCCTAAGTGTGGAGGGGGGAGAATGCAGCAGGGCGGTGAGGGACAAGGAGTGGGGGGCAAGTGCTCCAAGGTGATCTTCGCACAAGCACCTGGATGAGGGAAGAGGATGGTGGCCCCCAGGCAGAGGAACAACAAGTGTAAATGCAAATGTCCCTGGCTGGGCTGGGCTGGGCTAGCCTGGGCTTAGCCTGTTACCAGGAGAGTGGTGAGAGTCCCGGGGACAGGCACGCAGGAAGGGAGGGGCCAAAAAACCCTGGTGTGTGTGAGCTGAGATCTGCAAGAGGGGTTAAGTAGGTAAAGAGGGAACAGTGTGATGATGGATGGGAACCCCATTCCTGCAGGGTTTTATGCCTGGAGAATTCAAAGATCTTTAGAATTCCTTGGGAAGTATAGATAATGACCCCCATTTTACAGATAAGATAAATGAGGTCATTTTTTTTTCTAAAGATTTATTTATTTATTTATTTGAAAGGGAGGGAGAGGGGCGGGGAGAGAGAGAGAGAGTCCATCCTCTGGTTCACTTCCCAAGTGGTCACAACAGTAAAGGCTGGGCCAGGCCGGAAGCCAGGAGCTTGGAATTCCATCTGGGTCTCCCACGTGGATGCAGGGGCCCAGGTACTTGAGCCATCATCTGCTGCTTTCTCAGGTGCATTAGCAGGGAGCTGGATCAGAAGTGGAGCAACCGGGATTCGAACTGGTGCCCGTATCGCATGCTGGCATCACAGACAGCACCATGATGCTGCCCCTGGGTGATTTTTGTTTATTCCTCCTAAGATCACATAACTTTTGAAATTTGCAGGCTAGAACTTGAATTCAGGCTGTCCCAGCCTTGCTCTACTAGATACAAATTTTATTTTTTATTTCTAGTTTTATTTGTAATGTCTGGAAGATAGCATTCAAACTGTTTAGAAGACCTGGGCTCATTCGCTCTTTTTTTTTTTTTTTTAACTTGTGTTTTAAAATTTTATTTATGTACTGAATTTTTTGAAGATCAGATAAGATATTCTCCCGGAACAATGATCCAAAAATCTAACAGGATTCACAGTGAAAACTTCCTCCACTCCAGAGAATCGCTTCTGTGACCTTTGTATTTTTTTTTTTAAAGTTGGGAGGAATCCACTTTTAAAACTGATGGAATATAACTTTATGAATTTTGGTTGCGTAGGTAAAATTTTTATTTCAAGTGGTAGAATTCTTTGGCCCTGGAAGAACTGACAGTTTTTGAAAAATGAGTCCAAGAGCATAAAAATCCTTGGCTGTCTCCCTGTTTCTGTCTTTTGAAATGAGATATATGCAAATGCCAGAGGTGGAATTTAATATCATTAGAAAACAAAGGACATCCAAGTCCATAACTGAGTGAGAAGATAGGCTAGTCCCTCCCCTGGAAAGAATGATCCGGGCAGTGTTTGCAGTAAAGACAGCGGACCGGCTGGTCGGTTCTTCCCCTCTTGTTACCGCCAGTCCACGCCACGCCACGCCACGCCTGCAGGATGCCAGTCCCAGGCCAGAGAGCCTGCTGCTCCCTGCTCCTTCCCCCCCTTTCTCTCTTCCCCTCTCCCTCCTCCCTCCCTCCCTCTTTATTTTCTTCCTTTCTTCCTCCTCCTCCACCGTCTTCTCTCTCTGCTCTCACTCCTCTCTCTCTTTTATTCCTCCCCTGGCGGTTTCATTTTCCACTGGCTGTCAGGCATGGGAGAAGCCCCTCCACACGCAGACCCCATCATGTCACCCTCCCTTCCCGGAAGGCTCCGTCCTAAGGGTAAAAGGTCACAGCCTCTCTGCTGTCCGCCCTCACCTTGCCTCCTCTGGTCCTGGGCTCTGCTGCTGGCCCAGTGCCTCCTGCAGGGACCTTCCTGCTCCTACCCCGAGCCAGGGCACGCGGAATCCTCCCTCCCTGGTACCCTCCCAAGTGCTCGCTGCCCCCCCACCCCCACCCCAAGGCTCTCTCATTCACCTTCTGCTTTTTCCCAGCCACCCCCACCACCCCCGGGAGTTTCCCCCACCTGTCTGGGCTGAGGAGCCAGCGAGGCTGTGCAGAATGGATCCCAGCTCTGAGAATTCCAGGTTACTCCCATCTGGATCTCATTTCCTCCTCCGTAAATTCAGGGCTGGGACTGGCCGTCTCCGGAGCTCGGGGCTGGTGTTTTTCCTGGTTCAGTTCGAGTTTGGCTGTCTCTTCCTCTGACATTTCCAAGAGAAGGGTTCATCACACTTGGGGGGCATGGACTCCCCCCCCCCCCCCCCCCCCCCGCCTCCTGCCCTGACTATGGATTTATTTCCCCGCCAAGGTTGCAAGGAGGCAGTTTTCCCTGCCAAAAGCTTCTGGATGTGTGCCTGCAAAGCCCTGCCTGGCAGTGGCAGCTCACCTCAGTGTTGGTGGCATGGAGCAGAGAGGGAGGACCGGTTGTGAGAGGGTGAGGACTGCCTGCAAAGTGTCCCTGGGATGTGGAAATGCAAGACAGAGCAAAGCGCTGGCCGTCCAATCCAGACACGACTCTGTCCATGAGCAGCTAGCTGGCTGTCCACGTGACGCAGGCACATCCAGGGGCTTCCAACGGAATCCAAAGACAGAACCCTTTGCAGCCCCCTCGCGTGCTCCCCATTCCTCCGCAAGCCCCATCCATCGTCCATCGGCTGCCTTATTTATTTTGTTCCTTGCATGACATGCAGGGCACACACTGGGTCCTGGTGCCCGGTGCAGGGCAGCAGGGCAGACGCTGCTATGGCCTGGCAGGATGTGTTGCTGTACACCAAGGCGTGTCCGCCTGGAGGCGGGGACCCTGACCCAGTGGCAGTTTATCCAGGACTTTAGGCAGGTGTGGCAGTGCAGGGGAGACATGGTTCTTTCCTTTCTTATTTGCAGGGATCCCGTGTATGTTCTGGAGAGCAACCCTTGCCTTGTTACCTAACATAGTTCGCAAATATTTTCTCTCGCTGTCTGTGGTTGTGTATTAATTTTTGGAGATGTCTTTTCTGCATGTTAAGCATGTTAATAGAGTGTTAGTGGATCTATTCTCATTTTATTCTATTGTTTGTATGGATAGCCAATTGCCCAAAAAATGCTTTTTAAAACTGGTCAAATTAATATAGCAAAATGCATATTTACAAGATTGAGCTTTTTTTTAAAAAAAGAAAGATTTATTTATTTATTTTGAAAGTCAGAGTTACAGAGAGAGAGAGAGAAACAGAGAGATCTTCCATCTGCTGGTTCACTCCCTAGATGGCCGCAATGGCCGGAGCTGAGCTGATCCAAAGCCAGGAGCCAGGAGCTACATCCTTGGCCATTGTCCACTGATTTTCCCAGGCCATTAGCAGGGAGCTGAATTGAAAGTGGAGCAACTGGGACAAGAATGGGCGCCCATACAGGATGCCTGCATCGGCACTGCAGGAGGCGGCTTTACCCACCGTGCCACAGCGCCGGCCCCTGGATTGAGCCTTTTTTAAGGGGCACGATCCAGTGGCATTTAAACACTCACGATATTGTGTAATCACCACCACTATCTATCCACCCCTCAAAAGTAAGCCTCGTACCCATTGAGGGCAATCTCTCCCTTCTCTTCTCTCCTCCCCAACCGGCCCCACCAAGTCCCTGGCAACCACTTCTCTGCTTTTGGTCTCTATGAATTTGCCTATTTGGGATGTTCTGTAGAAATGAAATCAAGTAAGCTTTTGTGTCTGGCTTCGCTTGCTTAGCATGGTTTCAGGTTTCACCTATGCTGCAGTATGAATTAGTATTTCTTTCCTTTTTTTTTTTAAGATTCATTTATTTTATTTGAAAGGCAGAGTTAGAGAGGCAGAGGCAGACACACACACACACACACACACAGAGTCTCCCAATTGCTGGTTCACTCCCCTGATGGCTGCAATGGCTGGAGCTGGGCCAGGCTGAAGCCAAGAGTTAGGAGCTGGGAGCCAGGAGCTTCTTCCGGGTCTCGCACGTGGGTGCAGAGGCCCAAGCACTTGGGCCATCTTCCACTGCTTTCTCAGGCACACTAACAGGGTAGGAGCTGGGTAGGAAGTGGAGCAGCTGGAACTAGAACCAGCACCCATATGGGGTGCCGCTACGCCACAGCGCCGGCCCGTTTCTTTCCTTTTGATGCTGAGTAAAACTCCACTGGGCAGACTGAGTGTTCTCAGCTGGCAAACACTTGGGTGGTTTCCACTGTGTGGCTGGCGTGCCCAGTGACGCCAGGAACATTCCTGCACAGGTTTCATTGGCACACCTGTTGACATTTCTTCCAGGCCCAGCAGGCTCGTGGCGCGGTCCGTTCTTTCCCACACCGGTCCGCGGGCACACCTCTGGCACACGGTGTGCCTCTCTTTCTAGGTTCCCTACTCCGAGCCACTGCTCTAGCGATCCATCATGGCACCGACTCCATACTGTAGCCTCCCCTCCCCCGTGGTTTCACTTCCCCAGGTTTCAGTCACCTACATCAGCCTTAGTCTGAAAACATTAAAAAGAAAGTTCCAGAGTTAAATGGCATTAAATTTTAGGTAATTTTTCTTTTAACATTGCCATCATGATTCTGTTTAATATTAGTAACTGTTAATCTCTTACTGTAGCTAACTTACTCACTAACCTTTATCATAGGAGAAGCCGTAGTACTGTAAACACGCTCCTTGTCTTATGAAGAGAGCGCATCTCAGTAAACCTATCAGAAGGTGAAAATATTGTAATGAAAAATGCATTTAGTACACCTGTCCTACCACACGCTATAGGTTAGCTTAGCTTACCTTAAATATGCTCAGACCACTTCCGTTAGCCAAGGGTTGGGCGGGATCATCAAACACAAAGCTCACTTTATAATAAAGTGCTGACCACCTCGTGCTATAGATGGAGTATTCCACTGAGAGTGAAAAGCAGAATGTTTCTCTGGACTTGTCTGTGTCCCACCGTGGCGCTGAAAATCAGGTTTTGAACCATCGTAGACCAGGGGCCAGCTGCAGAGGGTCAGGTGCCTTCCTTGGTGGCCGGCACCTGCTGGGGGTCTGGGCGCACACAAGGAGGGGCTACAGCACTGCTTTCATGTCGCCCCCTCATGGTGCCCTTTACTCTCTGGCTGAGCCAGTGCCCAACCTTGCCTTCCTCCCTTGTCCAAACTGTTTTGGTTACATTTGGCTCTTTGCTCTTCCAAATATTCACATGGAAAACTTAGGGGCAGCTCATCAAGTGCCACAAAAACTCCGCAGGATTTATTTTGAATTTTTAGTCATTGCGGGGAGGAGAGCTGCCATCTTGGTCGTGTTGAACTTGCCAGGACACTCAAGTCTTTCTCCTCCCACCTCAAAACTTCTGTTCGCGGCTCTGCTTGGACCACTCCCCCAGCTCTTCGCTTGTGCCCTGTGCCCGGGACTCCCCTCATGGAGCCCTGATCACGAGTGTCCTGGAACAGTGAATCGGGTGGTCCTCGGTGGTCCCCGGTTTGCCGTCCGCCTCCCACCAAGCTGCAAGCTCCTCTCGGACGGTGCCATTGGCTTGTTTGCCTTGGTGTCCTCAGAGGCAGCAGATGCAGGGTCTCAGTGAAAGGTCAAATAATGCACGAAGTACAAGAGGATCTCTGGCCCGAGGGCACTTGGCCACTCCTAGGGAGTGTGTGCCTGTGCTTTCCCTGTGCACGCAGCTATGTTAGCCCCACTCTGCAGGGTGAGCTGAGGGTTGGCCAGTTCAGTCCTTATGCCCTGTCTGCACAGTGCTGAGCTGCCATGGAAGCCTGTACCTGGCTCACCTGCCTCTGTGAGCCTCTCGGCTCTGCATCCCTGAGACTCCCAAGGCTTTCCCACCCTTCCCCCACCCTCTTGATTTCACCTTTCCTGTGAACTAGACACCTTTCGCGCACTTTGCATGTGAGGGAACCAAGGCTCACGGGGGAAGAATGACTCATCTAAGGCCGACTGACCCCGAAACCAAGGTGCAAAATCGTCAAGGTGTTTTCCAGCTCATCTAGCCAGTAAAATTGCAAGTTCCACTTTAAGAACCATATGGCAGGGTCAGCGCTGTGGCGCAGTGGGTAAAGCCGCCGCCTGCAGTGCCGGCATCCCATATGAGTGCTGGCTCCAGTCCTGGCTGCTCCACTTCTGATCCGGCTCTCTGCTATGGCCTGGGAAAGCAGTATAAGATGGCCCAAGTCCTTGGGCCCCTGTACCCGTGTGGGAGACCCAGAAGAAGCTCCTGTTTCCTGGCTTCAGATCAGCATAGCTCCAGCCATTGCAGCCATTTGGGGAGTGAACCAGCAGATGGAAGATTCTCTCTCTTTCTCTTTCTCTCTCTCTCTCTCTCTCTCTCTCTGCTGCCTCTGCCTCTCTGTAACTCTGCCTTTCAAATAAATAAATAAATCTTAAAAAGAAAAAAAAAGAACAATATGGCTCCTTTTACAAAAGTAAAAAAAAAAAGGCAAAAACAAAAACCCTGAGAGCCACAAGAGGCAACTTAAGTGATTTTTTTATATCTTATTATTAGTTTTTAATTTGGTAGATATTCAGTAGAGGCATCCTTTATGTACTGATCAAGGAAAAGTAACACATCCATCAAACATTATCTCTTTGGGATCAGAACATGGAAAATCTTTTAGTCATTCTGACAGTCACAGAATGGGGCTGAACCCCTCCTTCTTAATTGTGGCTTTACAAGTCACTGGGCAACATCTCCCCTCCCCAGCCCTACCCCCTTCGCACCTCTGGGAATCACTGTTCTACCCTCCACTTCTGTGAGTTCAACGTTCTTAGATTCCACCTAAGTGACATCAGGTGGTATTTGTTTCTCTGCGTCCAACTCATCTCACTTAACATAAACGTCTTCTAGTTTCATCTATCCATTTTGCTGCGAGTGACAAAATTTCCTGCTGTTGTTTTTTTTTTTTTTTTTTTCCATTAAAGCTGAATAGTATTTGAACAGGTAGCTATCCATCTATGGATAATCTGTCTATCCATCTATCTACCTATCTACCGTGTAGAGATACAGATGTGTGTGTGACTCACATTTAAAATCTATTCACCTGTTGAACGCTTAAGTTGTTTTAACATCTTGGCTCTTATGAACAATGCTGCAATGAACATGGGACTGCATACATCACTGATGCGCCCTGATTTCAATTTCTTTGGATATATGCCCAGGAGTGTGATTGGAATGTTGGGTCAGATGGTTAATTCTATCTTTAGTTTTTTGAAAAAACCTCCATATTGTTTCCTTTTCTCTTTTCTTTTCTTTTTCTTTTTTCTTTTTCTTTCTTTTCTTTTTTTTTTTTTTCTTTTTTTTTTTTTTTTTTTTTTTTTTTTTGACAGGCAGAGTTAGACAGTGAGAGAGAGAGAGAGAGAGACAGGAGACAGAGAGAAAGGTCTTCCTCCCGTTGGTTCATCCCCCAAATGACCGATATGGCCGGCACACTGCGCTGATCTGAAGCCAGGAGCCAGGTGCTTCCTCCTGGTCTCCCATGTGGGTGTAGAGCCCAAGGAGTTGGGCCATCCTCCACTGCCTTCCTGGGCCACAGAAGAGAGCTGGCCTGGAAGAGGGGCAACCGGGACAGAATCCGGCACCCCGACCGGGACTAGAACCCGGGGTGCCGGCGCCACAGGCGGAGAATTAGCCAAGTGAGCCTCGGTGCCTGCCCCTCCACACTGTTTTCCAA